AGTGACTGAAAACCAGAGGAACTGTGGGATGACAGAAAGAACATCATAAAGGAAGCACAAGTCATTAAAAAGACAGGAAAGAAATAAAAGCCCAAAATAGATCTCAAGAGAGATTCTGAAATTTGCTCTTGAACTTAGAGAAGCTAAGTAACTGGAAAAAATGGGAAAGCAAAAGTGCTGAAAAGAAAATTTCAACGGGCATCTCAGGAAGACAGAGTCAAGTATTATAATGAAATGTACAAGGCTATGCAGTTAGAAAACCAAAAGGGAAGAACATGCTCAGCATTTCTCAAGCTAAAATAACTGAAATAAAAATTCAAGACTCAACTGGAAATATTGAAGGATTTTATGGGCCCTGGTATGGCACTGTAGGATAAGCATGGGCTGCTAACCACATGGTCAGCAGTTCAAACCCAGTATACAGGTTCACTATGAGTCAGAATCGACTCAAAGGCCACAACAACCACCAAATGAGCAAAATACTGAATGACAAAGGAAGAATCAAAAAAAGATGCAAGAATACTCAACATCACTATACCAAAAAGAACTAGTCAATGTACAACCATTTCAAGAGGTAGCATATGATCAAGAAGAAAGACATCCACGCTACACTGAAGGCATTGTTGAAAACAAGGCTCTACACTGAAATGTTTAAACAAACTGATTTATAGTTGAAGGCACTCAACTGCCTATGCAAGAACTTTGAAAGACAGCTACTTGGCCAACTCATTGGAGAGACCCATATCTGCACCCATTCCAAAGAAAGGAGACCCAATGGAATCATCAAAAGGTATAGAAATCACTGCACAGAATCATTAATATCACAGGCAGCTAAAATTTTGCTGAAGAGAATGAAAAAAACAGATGTAACAGTACATCAACAGTGAGCTGCCAAAAACTCAAGTAAGATTCAGAAGAGACAGTGAATAAAAGAATGCTGACGTCAGATGGACCTTGACTGAAAGCAGAGAATACCAGAGAAAGATGTTGACTTGTGCTTTATTGACTATGCAAAGGCTTTAGACTGTTTGGATCATGACAAACTATGGATAACAATGGAAAGGATGGGAATTCTGGAATATTTCACTGTGTTCACAGGGAACCTGAGTATAGAGCAACAGCAGTCATTATAACAGCAGCACAAGGGGATACTGAATGGTCTAAAATCAGGAAATATATGCATCAGGACCGCATCCTTTAAGGTATTCAATACGTATGCTGAGCAAGTAATCGAAAACGCTGGATGATATGACAATGACTGCAACCTCACAACTGGAGAAAGACTCATTAACAACTTGAGATATGCATATAACACAATCTTTCTTGCTGGAAGTGAAGAGCTCTTAAAGTACTTACTAATGAAGATGAGTGACTACAGTCTTCAATATGGACTGCATCTCAAGGTAAAGAAAACAAAACTGGGCCAATCAATATCATTAAAAAGGCCTGAAGTTGTCAAAGATTTCATTGTACTCAGATCCACAATCAATGCTCATGGAACCAGTAGTCCAAAAATCAAAGGACATATTGCATTAGGCAAAAAAAAAACCAACCTTTTCAAAGTATTAAAGAACAAAGATACCAGAGTTTGAAGACAAAGGTGTACTTGATCCAAGTCAAGTTATTTTCCATCACCTCATGCCCATGCAAAAGCTGCACAATGAACAAAGAAGACTACAAAAGAACTGATGCATCTCAATTACGGGGTTGGAAAAGACTACTGAAAGTCCTATGGACTCCCAGAAGAACAAACAAATCTATCTTGGAAGAAGTTCAGCCAGAATGCTCCTTAAATGCAAGGATGTCAAAACTTTGTCTCTTGTGCTTTATACATGTTGTCAGGAGAGACCAGTCCATGGAGAAGGACATCATGTTTGGTTAAATGGAGGGTCAGTGAAAAAGAGGAAGACCCCTCGAGTTGGATTGACACAGCAGCAGTAACAACGGGCTCAAGCATAACAATAATTGTGCGGGTGATCCAGGACCACACAGTTTCATTCTGTTGTATATGAGGTCACTATGAGTCAGAACCAACTTGAGAGTATCTACCAACAAAGAACCCAGCCTCAGACGCCACTTATATCGCTATAGGGTGGTTATGTGCCACATAGTCAGTTCCGACTCATAGTGACCCTGCATAGGGTTTCCAGGGCTGTACATCTTTATGGAAGCAGAAAGCCTCATCTTTGTACTATAGAACAGCTGGTAGTTTTGAACTACTGACCTTGAGGTTATCAGTTCGACTCCTAACCACTCTGCAACCAGAGCTCCACTACATAATTATGAGAAATATTTTGTGAGAGTTACAATATCACTAAGTAAATACAAGCATAAGAATTTTTCTTAAGATTTATAGTCTATCCTCTTAGAGATGTTTGGTCATAAAATGCCTAGAGGCAGATACAAACAGAGAGAAAAGGCTTGTCAACAAACTAACTTTAATATCACTTTCTAATAAGTTCACTGCTAAAGTTCCATTATAAAATCAAAGATGCATTCACTTGCAAAGAAAAAGGGACTTCTCAATCAAATAAAACCAAATGTAAAAAGGAGAATAGCTTTTGAATGCATTTTCCAAACAAAATAAACATTAACAATCTACTAAAAATATTAATAATAGCATCCTAAAATAAAAATAAACCACTGTGAGAGCAGGACCCTACCCAGAGAAGCAGTGAGGCCTGAAATGGAGCCAGAGATGATGACGAGGAACGATGGAGCAGCTGGAGACTCTAGATCCAGAGAGGGAAAGCGACTGTGTGCTGAAGACCTGGGGGGCACGGGGGAAGGATTGCATGGAGGG